GTAATATTACTTTTTAAGAGAAAGTACCAACTCCACAGGTTTCAGTATCTTCATCATTCTTACTAGCCCTAAGGCAGTACAGATCTTTGATAGCACTATTACTATGTAACAGTGCATTCCTCTAAACCATTTGTGAGGCAAGAATGCAATGAATCCTCTGGTACACCACACAGATCTGTAGTCAGGAGGGTTTTCCATAATCTCACTGCTCACCCATATAGACTAAAACAGCCCAGGTCTGAAAATTTTCTGACTGAGAGTCCTTTTTGAAACAGGTAGTCTAGCATGAGGGAAAAGGGCTTATAGATATTCTGATGACATGGACCATATTTTTCACTGTCGCTTTCCTGACTGACAGTTCATGTGCAAAAACTTGAGAGTTTTGTTTTACATGCCATCAGTGCTACTTTCAACTGCTGTGAATCACCAGAGAAGGTGCATGTAACCACTAAGTCAATAACCCGTTCTACCTTGAGTATATTTTATTTTGCAATTATAAAAACTGAAGAAAATTGAATTTTGAAATGCAACGTGTAGATTTTTATTCAACACTAGATTTTTTGAGAACCTCCAGTTTTCATCCTGCTTAATAATCTAGAATCATGTAGTGTGTAAAGCCAAAGATTCACAGACCCTCAGGAGAATGCTAACGCATAAATGCACACTACAAATTAAACAGAACGAAGAAGAGTGACTAACTGCAAAGTAAGGATTAGGTAAGTAGACGCTAACAAAGAAACAACCAAAAAGCTCAACAAATATTCACTGAATACTAATTCTGTTTTAAACTCCACTATCTGTAATGAAATGTCATCTTACAGACAATCAGCCTTTTAGTACAGAACAGTATTTTAAGCAAGCACTATCTACAAATTATCTCATCTTTTAAACACTTGAATGCTTAAACAAATAGCTGCAAAATAGCAAGACATCTCAACAGCAGCTAATTTATTGTCTGACTTCACTCATCTCACAATGATTAATTCCCCAGTTAGAGTTACATTTTAAAGTATATATGGATTTTGTTAGTGTCTCTCTTAGTTACATCTTTCTTACATTAACATCATAAAATGGCTCTAATGGCCTACTTGAGAACAGACTTGACTCTACTAGGATTTATGGATGTAAATTTGAGATAAAAATTACCCTTCCCAAGCCAACACCAACAGATACCACAGCCATACAAATAGTTTTGCTGCATAGCAGTAGTCAATAGTCTAGATCCTGATCTCCCTTGTGTCAGCACTAATCTGATGCACCGAAGAAAGTGAAGTCACTTCTAAGTTTCCACCCAGATTAAGTTCTGTCCTACTCTCTCTTCAGTCAACTGGTAAATTTGTTTAAGCTGTCTGTACTGAATAGGTAGGGCAATACTCATCATAAAACAAAGGCAAGTGAAACTAGGAGTCCTTCCACTGACGTCCACGGCCTTTGGACGAGGCCCTAAACCAGAGAAATCCGAACCCCAGAAGGGATTATATCCTAATTAGAATGATCTCACTGACACTCAGACAAACCTCCATTGTTCCACAGGAATGGTATCAAGCTAAGTCTGTTGAATAATTTCTGAACACTGCTATCTTGAGCATTACTCAACAATCAACTAGACATCACTTAAGATACATTACGTGATAGACAAATGGGAATCTAATAACTTTCTCTAAACCCGGTATTACTGCCACTTGAAACACTTTATAATGTAAAAATGTCACTGCAATTACAGTGTCTCTGATCAGTATATTCTTTTAAATTCAAACTGTGTACTTCTGCAGAAAGTATTAAGGAATAAATGCTGTTCAAGGAACCATACCAGGCTTTTAGAACAATGAAATCTTTTTTACGCAGTTCACGGAACTTTTATCTGGCTGTTCCCACAAGCACTAGAACATAAAGCCCTCAATTTTGAGATTATCATGCAAGGAAGTGGTCCTGTAGCAAGCAGCCTTAAGAAGCAAAGGGGAACACCACTGTAGATATAACTCATTGTCTTCTAAGACTGCAAAGATGCTTCTCAGGTCTGATACACAATGGCTATTGCAACTGATACAGAACTGAAAAAAGAAGTATTTGTACTGTAATACAGGTTGGAAGAAAACCAGGTGTCCTCCATGTTGGCTTTAGAGAATCTGCATTAATTTGTGAATGCATATTCTGACAAAGAAGGAATACACGAAAACAAATGCAGATGCAGAGTGAATAAAGCAAGCTGAAGGGATACGCTGGGGATATGCCTTTCATATATAGATCAAAACTTTTACGTATGTGATGATACTTTCAGGCATCTAACATTAAACATTTGGAAAGGTGTCCCATGGTTAAGGCTCCTTTGAGATTTTTCCTTAAAATATTTTCATTTTGAATGTCACTGGATTCAAGCTCATCTCTATGGCAGAATTACTAGTCAGAGGACAAATGAATTCTCCAATGAGCTTCTGGAGAGGGTGATATTCTTCCATGGAAAACTATTCAATAATTAATTTTCAAATGCCATGCAGGAAGTTTACCTTTCTGCCACTCTCTAGTTAAACGTATTTATTCTCAATGCTGTTACAGGTCAGGAAATATTCTTAGGAAACATATATGGTAAAAATTGGTCACATTGGTTGAGTCTCTAATAAAGACTACTAAGAATGGTCAAAAAAAAGTGGACCTTTGGAGAAAATCAGGATTACTCAATAGGAAATGAAAAGCAATCAGATGTCAAACTACAGAGGAGAGATGGTAGAGCTATGGAGTTAAAAAAGAAACCCCCCAAGACAGAACAAAAGTACATACCAACCGTTCTTCACTCTGGTTCCATTTAGTCCTCAGCTATGACACATTTTTCTGTGTATCATATTAACTGGAGAGTCAGCCCTGTGTTATTTTTATACCCACAAAAATATATCCCCAAAATGATAATGCCCTGAATGAGTAATATTTCAGTAATACTTTGCAATCGATTAAGGACACCTCTAGCACCGTTGTCTCCCTGAAGATACTAGCCAGACATTTCCTTTGTAAATTACCAGATAGCTCACGGAAAGTGAGCAGGATTTTTTCTTTTTTTCAGATGTATTTACACATTTCACAATCCACCGGTAGGGATGGTGCATGTTACTGCCAAATGTTAGATGAAATGTTATCAAACAGAAGTCTCCCAACAAATTCCCATCATGTTGACTATTAAGATCAGCCTGCCATGTGTAATTTTTCAAGCTAACTCCTTGATCAAGATTTTTTAAGCTATCGTTACTATTTTAATTATCCTTTTCTTACTCACCAAATACATGAAAAGTATATATTTACATGAAAAAAGAAATTGCAGAATGCCTAGAGACTTACGCAGCTTAAATTTTTAAAATACTTCATAAGCTTATTCAGTAATTAAATGAAAAACCCCCCCATCAAAAACCTAAGTCTGGTCCCATTTCTATTCTACACTGCTCTTCAAAGGGCTCTCCCTTTCAGACGATAGCAGAGGATTTTGTCTCGCCTGAGCCAGCTGCTCTTTATCACAGCATCTGGTTTCCCTTCAGCAGTTCGACGGTGAGAATTAGCCACTGCCATGCCCCTGGCTGGTAAAACCCCAGGGTGTCAGAGCTGCTGGCAGCAACAGCGTGGCCTCAGGTAGACATTTCAGAGAAACAGGAAGAGATTCCTGGGGAAGTTGTCGTTCCTCTCTGTTTTGCTGTAGAAAAACAAACAGAGCCCGTATTGTGCTGGACCATTTCCACCTGTGTACCACCCAAAGTGGCGTGTTGGGGTACGCTAGGGCAGATAGCAGCAATAGCATGAAGAGACATATAGTTCCCACATTAGCACAACCTAAGGCAGTACACGCCTTGTCATATAACCTGGCCCAGGCATGGAGAAGCCCCAGTGAATGTGCAATGCACCCTGCTCCAAGAACTGTCACAGGCTGTGGAGTCCCACCACGCAACTCAAGATCTCTTGCCTGTGTCCGTGACAATGGTAGTGCTACAATGCCACCTGAATAACGAACAACATGCTGGGCTCAAAGCCCTGCCCAGAAGGCATTCAAAATCTCAGTAAAATACAGTATTATTAATACATTAAGTCTGATGGTTACTGTCTCCTCATGGATGCATAATACCAGCTAATGTGTTCAGACACAGACACTGTTTTGTCACAGCACCTTCTGAATAGCAACCATACACTGATATAACCACAGTCCACATTCAGCAGAGCTCTTACAGATCATGCATCTCGAGTGATGTGTCAGGCTCAGTGTGCTTCACAAACGCACAGCCCACAAATATTAGTCTGGCGGTGCTACTATAATCATGCAGGTTCTTTACATGTTAATGTCTGTTCACATCTCCAAAAATACTTACGTTCATTTATCAGCATCTTAAGTATAAAGGTCTCAGAGACAGTGCTTTGGTCAAGGGGCTTATAATTCCCCAGGCTGTGATCAGATTAGTTTCTTTACACGTCTTTAAGGAGAGCTGAGCAACTAGAAGGAAAAAAGAAACAAAAAACCCCACCCTACACAAATGTAACTTACGTTAAAAGTGATTCTGATTTGACTGCCTGTGCTACATTTTCAGGAGCTTCCCGAAACCTCCGAGGTTCCAAGGGTCACTAGCACAACTATAACACTGAACCTAAAGCTTATGTATCGGATCTTTTCCTCAGAATAGATTTTAAGTTGTTTTCAATTCTAATGTCTGCATTTCACACTGCACTTGTTAGTCACATGTCTCGTGCACTTAGGAAACAGAAACAATTTTCTAAGATTGAAAACCCACATTTATTAGTAGTATTTTCAAAAACTTTGCACAGAGCATTTGAAACACCAGAAATGTTTATTTGAGAAATGTTTGCATAACTCGGGATCATGGAGCTTCTGAATAGTAGGGGCTCTGGACAAAACTTGTGCACAAACTAAAAAGCAGAATACATTAGTAACTAGAAAACATCTTTAAATCTTTTTTTATATCGAAAATGCATACATTTCAGAAATGTCTAAATGGGGTAAGAAATTTTGCTCCTACCTCTTCCAAAGCCCATAATGAATCAACCACAGGCTTGATCTTCTTGCTGTTATAGAGATTTAGGAGTTTGTCCACCACGCCCTTGATCAGGGCACCTCGATTCTGTTTGAAAAGTAGATTCAACAGGGAAAATCCAGCGATGACTTTGTTCTCTTCATACAGCTTGATAGGATTTACTTTCTCAACCTGCCACCACTGGAAAGCAATAAATGGCAGCAGGGTTAGAAAAACACTTTTCAAGAAACGAACAGGAAAGTTAACAAGAAAACTGTCTGGGCAGATGTGACACACGACTCATCTGTCAGATCTGAAGCAACAGCCAAGAGAAGCAGCAAGGAGTTTATTTAAGGAAGAGGTAAAACAGTATGCAGCTGACTGACATGGGCCAACAGAACACAGACTTGTGTTGCATGAGATCAGGGTTTTAGAAGAACGGTGAACAGATCTGGTTTTAGGACCTGAGTCTAGAAGTAAGGAATTTGGGTCTCCCTTCTTACTTCTGCTGTCCTCCTTTGTTACCTTAGGAGAGCCATGCAACCTTCCCAAACGTTCGCAAGCAACTCTTGACTATTATTCCTCTCTCAAAAACAAGGAAACCGCGCACTGTGTATCAGCTTCCATTTACTTTTCACCCATTATTACGTTTGTGATATTTGAGCAAGCTTCATAATAGCTAATGAAATTACTCACTTAGCCTAAGAGCAGCCTTGAGACTGAGATCCCACTTCCTACCAAGTCTTCTTTGAATGGGTCAATTTTTAATTAAAGTTTTCATACAATTTTGATAAGTTAATTCTGCAGTATAATTACATAAAACTAGTTATACTCTTATACAAAATTTTATACGTGATTTTTTTTTAATTCAATTTATTCATATCTATTCAGTCAATAAATACCAGTGCTATTTGAAAAACATTTCAGTTGAAATTGATTTTGTTGGCCCAACCTACCCTACAAATTATAGGCATCTGGATATGTTTGTATCAACAGTAAAAAGGCTGTGTAGTAAAGATTATCTTGTTTTAGTTCACAAACACCTGACAATAACAAAAATCATGCCACTACAACCATTAAGAAAATGTAGGAGGCAAAGAATAGCTTCTTGCTACAGTCTTTGATTTATCTTGTTTTCAACTACATAGAGACATTTGAAGCTAATTTCTCCTGGGAAGGGGTTGTTGCTGGAATCTGTAAACGAGCTCTTGGCAGAAAAATCATGTGATAGATCTTCAGTCAAGACCTCTCCCTCTGTTCTTCCTTGTCTCAAGGAATCATTTTCACTCCTGGTTAAATTAATTTCTCGCTAGCAGTTTATTTGATATATTTGTGCCTTGTCTCCACGATTTCTGAGCAGATATTTGTTGTTGTAGTAGGCTGAAGACTAAAAATTTAATATTTGAATTTTGGATTTGTTGACATCATCCATTATAAAACAAATGCAACATGGTCATCTCCTTGATGTCAGTTGAAATTGCAATGGAGAACTGAAAAATGCACTTCTGTATGGAACTGACTTCTGAAAAGCTGCAAATGGCTGGACGCAAGCCCCATCTTCAGAGATCTAATCTCCTTTAATTCACTGCACTGTCCTGACTGCGTTTTCAGAAATGCGGAATGTACAGAGTAGCATTATCCATATCCATGGATATGATATTCTGCCATAAGCAAATAAATAATGCAATCTAACTTTAAACTTAGCTGTATAAGAGATATACGCCTGACAGCTAGCAATTTAAATACGCATTGCATGCAGATCCAATTCCTGCCTAGCTGTTGTATCAGAAGAAAACACATCAGACCACACTGCAGTCAGAAAACCACTCTCTTTAGCAACATCAGAAGTAGTAACTTAATAGAGATAAATGAGAATGATAAAGATGAAATTGCTACAGAAAAGACTACTAAGTTAGAGGAAGGAGCAGAATCACAACACTGAGACACTTACTGATTTTGCAAAACTGAAGAAGCTTTTTGTCTCCCCAGTAACCATGTTAGATGAACCTGTAAAAGATGAGTACATTCACACAGAGCTTATTACATGCTGACAAGAAGACCATTTATTATATGTAAAATCATTTCTGTGATTCACATTTTAGAAAAAAAAAATTTCCCCAGCTTTGAAAGGGATTAGTAGTCATCCTTATACTTTGGGAATAAATAACAAAGAGGCCAAGGTGACTGAGCTCTACAATTTTATAGATATTCTGAGATGACAAAAACAATCTACCAAATCTTCCAAAACCAGGAAGAGGTTAAGTGCTGTTAGGCATCGTGACACCAAAACTCTTCTACAGCCTTCTCCTTCTCCGCAGTAAAATGCCATTTGTCTCTGACACACTATTGCGTAGCAGCGACCACCACACGGGTGTCCTTTCTCCGTACCTGTAAAGATACATTTATCTGACCACTACACGTGTGAACATACATGCACTGTACACTACAACCTGTTAGCAAGTGTAATGACAACTCACTGGCAGGGACTTCCTTACAAACAGGCGGCCAGGTTGGTTCGTACAGTCCCCGCAGATATCCTGAGGAGCCAGGAATGCTTAGCCATGACACCACTGCACCTCCCACTGCGATACAGTTACATTCTTCATTTCCAAAGTTTAGCAATCCCTTCAGCTGTCCTCCTACAGAAGCTTGGCCTGCTTTGCCACACAACACGGCAACCTGGCAGAACTGCAGGAAAGCCACATTTACTGCATATGTGAAGTAGCCCATGCACAGGAATGGAAACTTGTAAACAGAAGCCTGCGCTTGAATTCCTGAAAATCATGTCAAATAAAACTGCTAGCATTCTTCCCGAAATCTTCCTCCCAGCTTCCCTCCCACAAGAACTGTATTACAGTTTCCTTGGCCACACTGCGATTCCTACGGTGTGCAGAATGAGAGATCCAAGCTTTCTCCCATGCTTCCCCTGTTATCACCCAATCATGTTGAACAATCTGAAACGTACATTCAGTTTCACTTCTGGATTTTTTTTCTTTTAAGAGCTTTTTCGTATGATCTATTGTTTCTCAATAATTTAGTCCATGCTCAGCTTCACTAAAATCCTTGATTCAAAAAGGTCAAACTGAGAAAGTATAACATGGCACCTTCCCGTTCTGGAAGGAGTGGCATGGGTGATTTTAAGCTTTTCAAAGCTTTAGTTTTGAAATATGTATCTGGCTTTGTCCACTCACCGTATAAAATGTAAGTCCCAAGTGGTTTGAGAAGACTGAGGCCTTTTCCAGTATTTTCTCCACAAAGACAGTCCAAAACAATATCTACTCCATCTGCTGAGATTCTAAGAAGCAAGAAAGAAATCCCACTTTGCAATAAGATCCACAGGACCGCTCAGCCAGAATGATACAAGCTGATTGTTAACATAACACTAACATTTTCCAGGTACTTTAGAAAGGACTAAAGGCTGAGGCTTTGACTATGTGAAAACTTTCTTCTCACCAAAAGGCAATTCAAACTCATTCAGCGCTGGAATGTGAGTTAGTTGGGCTAGCCAACCCACCCCTTTTAGACTTAGAAGAGTGGGAAACCATTCTGTTCCCCCTTTTTGAAAGCTTTCAGCAAAATTATATCATCAAAACAACAGGTGACAGATACAAAGTTCTTTTTGAGTGAATGTGAATGTCAGAGAATGTCTTTTGGTCAATGAATGTCATAAAGAACATTTTTGTCATTCACGTCTTATTTTCTTTTTCTGAATTCATAAGAAAACAGATCTTCTTATCCTAGTTCTTCTCAGATAAATGTTGTCCTTGTAAAGCCATTTAGAGTCTTCTGTTTCAGACTTTGTATCAAGTAGCTGTCAGCAAAGAGTTAAGTCAAGCATAAAGAGAAGTCACCAAGAGCTAGAAACCCAGCTCTAAGGATACAATCAGGCCATATTATAGAAAGCAGAAAGTATTTATACTGTTTCAATAAACAGTTCATATATTTATAGTTTTCCAATAAATAGCTTTGTGAATGCAGCAGAAAAAACAGACACCCAAACAGCCTGATTTGGTTGTTTTTTTCTGGTTAAATGCCAGCCTGCAAAATCCTATCACTAGTTTGATCTAAGTCTAAGATCCTACTTCCTAACCAAGTAAACAGCCCAAGCAGTAGTAAATTCTTTATTAACACTCTTAAACAATTATGCAAATAACTGGTGCAGATACTAAAAGAAACTTGCAGCCTTGAGACTGTCAAAGGTTTCGGGGCAGTCAATAGCATCCAGTCCCCAGGAACATCAACCAGCTCCTGGCAGCCATGCCCTCTGCAGGGGTACAACTGCAATTAGAAGTCAGGGAAGACATGAAGCTTTATGGCTTGTAATGCATCTTTCTGTCTCCTCACAAAACAAAGGTGATACTCGGACATCCACTGGTTACAAACTGCAACAAAATCGGGCAACTTTACTCTTTGGTACTGCTGCCGTATGTGGAGTAATAAGTTGTTTATGTTCAGGCCACTGGATGAGCTTTCACTAAACGAACAATAGCTTTGCAATCGAACAGCTTTCAGTGGCTTCCAGGGTTGAACTGATTCCTCAACACCTAGGAACACTGCCACATTCATATCACCTCTGGGGCTGGTTTTTTTGTTCATTTGTTTGGGTTTTGGGGGGTTTGTTGGGTGTTTTGGATTGTGTTGTGGGGCTTTTTTTTGTTGGGTTTGTTTTTTTTTTTTGACTCTGCTCCCAGATGAGAGCTCTTCCCTGCAATAAAGCAGGCTCCTACCACCATCTTTTCCCAAACACGGGCCCACCCTTTTCCACTCACAAACTCTCAAACGAAGAGCCTTCCCCCTCCCTCAGGGCTCCCCTAAATGTAGACTAGTCATCTTCCCCGCTGGCCAGCCAAATATTTTAAGCAGAACATACTGTACAGCTAATATCCAGCAAAACAACTACACTGTCTCCCCCACTGCCTCTTTCAAAAGACAGTTTGTCTTTATAGCATTCTCAGAATTACCACTGTACTTTTTTTTTCAATGCAAAGTGAAAATACACGGATCTGAGCAACAAATCTGAGTATTGGCGTATTCTGCTGTGTGCCAATTCTGTCTTTTAATCTGGACTATCAATTCTGCTAATAGTACAGACCTCTATACCACGAAAAAAGCACAAACTAGCTTGCTGCATCCACATTTTACCCTTTGTACCCACTGGTTCTCTGTCTCATTGGTCTATTGTGAGGTGAAAAAGTATGTGAAAATGCAGGATCGCTAAAAGGGATTTTAACAGACTTAACATAGCAGAATTCCACCCCTTTGTAACCAGGTCTCCTTTGACAGTTACAGTCTGTTACACAGAGTCAGGGATGGTGTCAGGGAACTGCCACAAAAAGAACTGTCCTGATGAAGGGCAGAAGTAGCCAACATTATCTGCAATCATAAAGTTACCAGGAGTTAAAGAGGCTTTATTCCTTTTTTTAAGCACTGATTTCTGCTGTATCTGCTCCCACATCACATACCCATTTAGATTAGATCTTCTGCTGTCCCTGCCAAGAGTCAGGATTAAGGCTGGTGCTGAACCCTGATTAATGTTTTCAAGTGTTCTTTCTTGACGAATCAATTTTTGTAAAGTGGGGATTGCTAGAATTTAGTCTTCAGCTCACTACAGAGATTCTCCAGGGGCAGCGAAACACTTGGGTATATATACCTCCCCAAGAGAAAGACTATCAAAGAGCTGAAGAAGTGTGCTGCAAATCTTCTGAGCTGTAAGAAAATGGCAGGGGTGGCATCTGCTGGACAAGTCCTATCTCTTTCTGGTGAAATCTCCCATTCAGAAAAAGTTTCCCTTGACATAAAACATCCTTTGTGATGGATCACTTCAAATGTTCTCTTAAGCCCTTGGCTCCAGAAACAGTAGCAAGACACCCTACTGTCTCCTCCAACACCAGTCTGGCTTGCTACCAGCTCAGACGAAAGCCTGCTGTATCCTGAAATCCTCTTTAAGGGCTAGCAGCCCTTGTACGGAGAGGCCTTCCGAGGCTTTGCGTGTCCCTCGAGAAGTGTGCAAGTTTGATGGGAAGCCTATCAACTGTACTACCTTGGGATGCCCCCTTGAGAAACTTCTTGTTTTATACCCAGCTACATAATCCAGTATTTTGACAGATCCTAGATGAAGGGAAAACATTGTTCTTATCTGACACGTAAAATCAAAAAGACTTTTTTTTTCAAGATTTTCTTATCAATTCTAAAATTTTGCCGCACGTATTAACATCAACATCCGAAACCAGGCAAACTGGAAAACAAAATATTTGAAAGCATGTAAATAGAAACACACATGATAGCTTCAAAAGGCAACAGGATGATTCTAATCTGAACACAAACAAACAAAATCTAAGGACCTGAAATTGAAACAGACATCATGTGCTCCAATATCAATCCCTGGCAGAGGATGAAAACCCAGGCAGACAGAAACACACCAGAGAACTCCAAAACCTGGATAACTTACAGATCCACTGAAAACATCTTACTCGGTGCACTCCAGTGAGCTACTGCATATGCAGATAATAGCAAAGTATGTTGTTCTGTCTATTCTTTTTCATTTAATTTACGTTGCTCACAACAGACATCCAAGTATGAACAGGGACTAACAAAGCCTATGTTGCTTATAAAGAACTAGGGAGATGCTTGCTATTTTGTCCCCTGTAGTGGTCAGATAGAATATTTGGAATAAACTACAGTTGCCAAACTTACAAATGTAAACTCTTCCAATAAATATGATCAGTCTGGTGTCTTTCGTAGCATTTTCCAGATACTATACAACCCTTACTCAGGAAAATGAAAGATTACCTTTTCACTTCTTGAACATAGTCGGCATTTCTGTCAAACAGGTGAGTTACTGAGTCTTTGATTGCTTCATGTTTGAAAGATGAAGCTGTTCCAAAAACAGTAACATTGGGAATAGTTGAACAGAGCTGAGCAACAGCTTGACCCTGCAAACACACCATGATGTTAGTTCACTGACATGGAAATTGGTTGACAGACTTTGCAGCTGCCAATTCACTCACAACACAGCAAAACTGAAGACCAAACTGCTAGCAGGGAAGCACTGCATAAATGCCGAACCATCTAGATTTCAGAAAAGATCCTAACAGGTCATCTTTTTACAACCCTGGGTTTTGTTTTACTCTTAACACACCAACAAATGGAAGACAGACTTCTGGTAGACACATCCTGCCTCTCGTAACCACATTATTCCGCTGGAGCTAGCACAGTTACACAGATATACTCAAGAGCAAGAAGTAGCAGCATCATTCTAAAAATAATGTCTGATGGAATTCAGCAGATTCTTACTTATATTTACAGTCAAAAGATTGTCATTTGTAAACTGTATGCATGACCAGTAAAATTATCCATGGATAAAAACATTTGTCCATTCCAGCCAGAAACCCTGATTATTATTACGTAAATACAAGCAATCAGTGCTTGGGTTTTATTTACAGTAGAATAATTACATAACCCTGCACACTCTGGGGGTTTTGACATCCTCATGTATAATGCTGAATGTAATTGCTAGTGACAATCCTCTGAGCTGAGGATCGCAAGAGAGGGTAATATTATTATTTATATATGGTGGCATCCAGGACTTTCAGGTCGGTTTCCTACTGGATTAGTGTGTAAACAGCCACACAGCAAGGCACAGCTCATGCGATCCTTTGGACAGGTACCAACAGACACAGAGAAGAGAGCAGGAGAACAGACGTATTCTCATTCTGACTTTACAGATGAGAATGGAATAGCACAGAAAATTGAACAACCCGTCCAACAGCTCAGAGAAACTTCCAGAAGTCTCATTCTGAAGCCCAGGTCCACCCGCTCCACAAATATTGTAATATCAAATTACAAGGAAAATTAATCTGGATTTTGTATCTCTCCTCTTCTTAGTCCTTTTCGCTAGCACTCCTCTTTTCTCACTTTCTGCGTCTCCCAGAAAACCATCACCCACAGCAGTTTAGGTAAGTCTGTGTTTGATAGTGTATACTACTTGCGTGAAACTCTGACATTATTGATGTATTCTCTAATTAGTTTTCTGCATTTTCAATCTAACTTGGGAAGACGAGGGATGATGAGTATCTCCTGAATCAAAAACACCGAATGTTTAAAAGGTCAAATATTAAAGTAGAAAACATGTTGATTTTTATGCTGCAGAAGATGATTTAACATTTAACAAACTGACAGTCAGACAAATAGGAGTAATGCACAAAAACCCCAGGATGTACATAACCTATTTTCCTCCTGACTCAAACTCGTTCGTACGGCCCTCCCTCCCCCTATGGAGATAAGCTTATCTAAAACCCCAGATCAGAACACTTCCCCGCTTTCTGTAGATACTTAAAGCCTAAAACTGACTCATATGACCAGTACTTTTATAATTGGATGAACCACATCACTGAAGTATTTTGAGGTAATTCCACAAAACATTCTTCTACCGCTTTCTGAAGATCTTAACTTGACGTTGACTCTTACTTATTTTTGTGCAAAATATTCTCAGGATTTGTATTTCAGAAATATTGAAATAAAGGCTGATATTGGACCCTTCATGCGTTCCCCATCAAAACAGGTGAATTGAACTCAACCTATGAACTCAAATATTTCACTAGTGTCTGTGGAATTCAGCTAGGCTCCAAAACAGCACTGTCGCTATGCCAGTCACTCATAAATTTCTTTTCTAATCCCTCAAGTCATCCAGCTACCTCTGGATTAGCAGCTGGTGTTCAGAGGGCTATACATGTTAATGGCAAGCATGTGAGGCCCCGGTGTTCAGAACATCCACACTTCACAATGAAGCATGCACACAAAGCGCTGCAGCTGGAAGGAAGAACGTCCTCATCCCAGGGCTGGAGGGGCTGGGCTGGCAAGGTACCCATGCAGGGTCCTGCCTCGCTGCACACTCTCACCAGGAAGCACCCTTTGATCACAGGCACAAGAGCCCTGTCCTGTCTTTCGGATTCCAAAGCCATTTCCCTCCTGAAAACTGCTTTGTGGTAGACACAGGAGAGCTTTCTCTCTCCTCCCCACCCCGACAAAACCACATCATCTCTGCTACTAGCTTTCACTTTGGAGACCACATGCCTAGGGAAGCAGGCACCATGCTACCAGAAACAGCTTATGAAATCTAAAACCTTCCGAGACGGTGTCTAATTAGCTAGGTGTGATATGAAAAACAAAAATAAAACTCTTCAGACATCTAATTTTTCACATACGATGCAAATTTCTACATGTAAGTACAGACTAAATGCTTGCTTCCTGAACCTGGGAAAATTAAGTGGCAAAAAATAATTCTCACTTGCACACTTAATTTTATCTTTAAAAGGATTCAGCAGTCTCTGAAAAAACTGATCAATTGTGTCACTGAAGGCATAGATATAGTTACAAAATATTCCCTCAAAACAGAATTAATGTCCTCTAAAATATATGTATTTTACATACTACCTATCATGCAGAACTCCACACAGCGAGTCCTCAAAGAAATTAATAAAGTTGGGTTAAAGCATTCTCTGGAAATGAAGAATGTCTCCTAGTACTGGGTTTGGCAGAGGAGTCTTGTGCCTCCGTAACTCCAAGGTCTGTCTCACAGATTCCTTTTCAAGGTATCCTGTCAATTTATAAAACTGGTATGTTGAACCTAATCTACACATATGATTATTATAGATTATTACAATTATTATAAATGGTTATGCTTATAGTCATTTTAGATCCAGTAAAAAGATTTGGATTTCTTTACATTCCTTTGCTTTAAACCCCAACTTTAAGCCTGCAGGATTGGAAACTTCTCATACGGACATAATCCCATAAAAGAACCGAAAAGTAGATTTTTAGGAAGTCAAAATGAAATAGACTGTTCTGTGCATTTAAACAATTTCAAAGTAAAAAAAAAAAAAACCAACATTTAAAACATTTAAAAGTCAATACAGAAAGCAAGAATAGAAGAAAAGTTACTAACCTAATCAGCTTATTAATACTTATTAATTTCACTGGATGAAATATAAATAAGGGGTATAAGTCAGCAGATTTCCAAAAGGGTCTGATCTAATGGCACAAGCCAGACCTCAGTCTGATGTGCAAGCTGTGCTCTGAATTACAGCAGTTATAGATCGGTACATTTTCAAGAAAGTATCTTTTTTTGCTATTATCGAAACTGAGCCTAGCTTTATTGCAGGAGAGAACAAACCCTCTAAAAGACACCACCCTGCAAAAATGCATGTAATAGAACCAATAGCATCAGTAAGATATTACCATTTCTGTGATGTACTTTTGTAGCCCAGAGGTGCTACAGCATTTAAAAAAAATTAAAAAAAAAAAAAATCACTCAGACTTAATCTTGCACAAGAAAACTGTCTGGAACCAAACATGAGGAGAATCCACATTTCCAGAATGCTTTGATGCTACCATATCTGAAGGTGGTATGCAGTACACATACAGCAAGAAAACTGCAAGAGAAGACATCTACTAATCTCCTGGCATCAAGGAAAACTTTTATCTGGTGTTAGGAGAAGTCAGATACACAAGACTCCATCTCCTGAAGATGTCGTTTTCCCATTACAGCAGAAGAAATTGGAGACCAAACACTAAGGTGAACACCGCGAAGTGGACAAACTGAAATGTGATTCTCGAACAAGCATACGGCAGCATCTGCTACACTCAGTGCACCACAAGTTAAGTTTTGGAGTAGAGGGAGGGGAAGAGACACCATGAGATAATGATCTCTTTTACCCTCAAAATCTCTTATTTTCTGCAAAAATTAGCAGGGTGTGTTTTTTCCGACCCCCTTGCACAATTGTGCACTGAGCATCCAAAGCTCAGTGCTGAATCTCCGTCTGGTATAAATGCTCTTCAGTTCAGTGGAGCTACAATACACCCCAGCCGAGACCCTCGCCCAGAGGAGATAAGCTCCATCTGAAACAGTAGCAGCGCCAAGGAAGAGTTAAGCACTGCCAGTCCATGGCATGACTCGGCAGGGGATTCAGGGAAAGGACACGTCCTCTGGGGAGTGCAGGGCTGCGAGAGGCAAAAAGAGAGGCCTTCAGGGACTGCAGCCTGCTCTGGTCAGGGAAATTGCTTTTTGTGTGTGACTCACCAGGCTTTTGTGTTTGATTAACAGAGTATGCTGAGGCGCTGTCTGGAAATAGGCTCCGGCATGGCAGTGGGACTCTGCAGAGCTGCTGAGGGAGCACCGCCACTGCTTCAGAGGCATTCAGCCACACAGGGCAACTCAGCCTCGCCATACCCTGTCTGGCTTTAAGTTTAGAGGCAGCTTGGGTACTTAAAGCGGCCTAGACTTGGTTACACAGAGCTCTGTGTGAGCTGATTTATTCCCTTCTTTGGCTGCTGGAGATGAAGTAAGAGGAAAGCACTTGGGGTGTATTCATCAAACACAGAATGGCTATGAACTGCTAATATGAAAATAGCAAGTGCAGTCCTGGGAGGTATTGAGTAAAGATTTCAGCAAAGGGGGAAGTATTAATGCCATTGCACAGTATGATGGCCAGAACCATCAGAGGAGTGGAGTAAATTCTAATTATTCACATTCAGGAATGACTGACTCAAACACAAGAGTGCTATTTAATGTGCTCCTACCTGCTAGGTGCAGACAGACCTAAATTCAGTCTACCCATACAATGTTTAAAAGGATCAGGAATGCTGTGAGACCTATTTTAAAAGGCTCTGGTGCTCGTACCAGCTTACTGCTGCTTTGCTGCGAGCCAGCTCAGAGCCCAGGAAACATGTACGTATCTGCCTGGACCCATGTCCCTAGGGTGACCAAGGAAACAGACATCTGACCTTACAAAAAAGGGGTACGAACATACCAACCTGCTTCCACAGCCTGAAAAATACAGGCCAAGGAGCTTGTTCTATAGCTGTAAACACATACACATCCCACCAAAAAGATCTGAAAGAAGTGCCCCAAGAGGAAAGAACAGCTGATTTCAAT